ATAGATAGATAGATAGATAGATAGATAGATAGATAGATAGATAGATAGATAGATAGATAGATATAGATGATAGATATATGATAGATATAACAAAAATTAAAGGACTAATAACCACTTGATTCTTGAACTAAAAATGAACATTAAGACTCATAGCACAATATAAATCAGATCATAAGCTGTAAGGTTCAATCTATATTCCTTAGAATTTGTTCTGATTTAAGTATCTTGTAAAATTGAAATATAAATTCTTTGTATCGTTAAACCCACAGTTGGGGTAAGGTCTCAATCCTTGTATTAGCTTGCAGCTTCGGAATGGTTTCCAGTTTGTGTTGAAATCTGTGTCAGATTTACTTTTAAGGGACAAAGGCGCAACTTGGTGAGGGCTTGGTCCAGATTGAGGTGTGGATGTTTGGGGAAGTTGCTTCTCTCCTACAGTAATTCTCTTACCCCCCTCCCCACTATCCTGCTGCTGCTGGAAGATTCCTCAAGTCGCTGTAGAAATGTCAGAGCTGGCTTTTCAGGCATTGCAGTGGTTTTACATCTGGACACACTTAGCGTTCTGGTGTCCGTGTGCCAAAAGTGCACACACTTCTGATGTTCTGCATAACCAAGAGTGGAGCCCTCTGGATATGACTGTTCTAGAGATACTAGAGATGTTACTATAGTCCAGCAAGGTGGCAGTATCTCGCTGATCTTGGTTGATCTCAGAAAGGTCATCAGAGTCAGACTTAGTTAATACTGAGCTAATACTTGGATAGGAGACCACCAGGAAGAGTCGTCTCAGAAGACAAGGACGAACTGCTTCCATATTGTGGCCAAGAAAACTATATGGACTTATTCATGTAGCTACCAAAGTTGAGCTTAACTTGAGGGCGATCTTCTCTTTGCTTAAGAGAACCTTTACATTGCTCAGCGTAAGTGGCCACGTTGCTGACCTGTGGCTTTTGATGCGCTTGCTCAAATACATGGCTCATTCGTCGCCAGGCACACAGAAAAACAATAGGGGAACCGCTAAAAGGAGCAGCAGTTTTCTTTCTGTGAAAATTATTCTCTGGGAAAGGGGCACAGGGGCTGGGGAACGACCAAGGTGGGCACACCTGGGTCACTATTTGGAATGAAAAGGGTGGGGCCTTGCTGCGGGGGTTGGAATAGTGGACTGTGCAAAGCTGGCAGAGTGTGAAACTTATGATGGGTGGCTCAGGGAGTTTTTGCTGGCAGGCATCCCCTATTGCAAACCCAATCATTTCTTTTCTGTTTGTTTTGCTGCAGAAATCTAGCCTGCCTTCCACTCCTTTTGGCTTTTGCGTGTGTGTAATTATGCAAAAAAAATCCCTTCTGTTATGTTTAGAGGGGAGGAGGACAACCCATGGACCAGCCGTTTTCTTTTTTTCTATTTTACTGGCACTGCTAATAGAATCCTCTTCCCTACACGCTGCTCAATGCTGATAAAAGGCATGCTCTTCCCTGCATTTCAAGCTAAAATTAAGAGATCCCTCTGTCCTGAGTTACCTTGTCCCTGCTCTGTCAAAGCTCTCTTGGGTTTGCCAATTGCCTGCCAAAGAACCAGATTCAGAGGACGTGTCACCCAGTGATGTTCCTAACAGCTTTTCATTTTGTTGTTATTAATATGAAAAGTCACTTGGTTGCTAAGGCAGATTTGTGACTTTTCAACGTTTCCTTCCTTAGTTTGATATATTTGTGGGTCTTGAAAGGAAGTTTGCTCTAGGATAGAATGTGATTCACAGCTTATCCCCATTTTTATAATTGATTAACCGTGATTTGTGGCATTAGCTGCAGTTGACGGGGTTTGCATTCCACGCGGAGCCATAAACCATGATGTGCAAACCCACAACGGATGGGTGCTTAAAAAGGCTAGGTCAAAATCAAGCAAACCCCATTATGGCTTGGGTGTTTGCAAACTCAGTTGTAATCTGGGTGAATGGGTGTGCTTCCGTTCCATGGCTGCCCGGAGTGAGGGGGAAATTGAACCAAGGAAGAATAAATGGAAGAAGATTTGGGATTTTCCAGGTCTTGGGCCAAAGAACTGCATCATTGCAAATTGAAAATGTCGGATGGGCTTAGGGATACCCTTAAGAATTGTTCGAAACCCTCCCTCCCCCTCTAATTTTTAAATCATTTTTTGTCAGAAGCGCACATACCATGACTTTTTTTTTCTTGTCAAGACTATTAAGGACTAGAACCTTCCTTTAAAAATATCCCCGAGCCACAGATGTTTGGATTGAGTCAATGTGAGGCTGCCACTTCCCGGATGCCTTCGCAGAAATGTACTTGAGCTGGAAACCCAAAACATGTTTAGGGCTGGACCTCTGTGTTTCTTTCCTCCAGCAGTGTTAAAATAAAACATGCACAGCATTTAATGGTTTCTTTCCTCTCGTGCAAACCTTGATCCCGGCTTCCTGAAAGGCAGGGTGAGTCTTTCTGAAAAGCAAGCCTAGTTTTCCGCTTGGGCTGTGGAACGCGATGCTGGGAAAGGTGCCACAGATCCTCGCTGGCGCTGCTCTTTTCCAGAGCAGCTTCAGAGGAGATGTGGCTGGCTGGGGAGGTGAATTCAGCGGCGTCTTGCATTGAATGTAACCACCTGGATATGTTTTTTTCCTCCTTCCTCTGCTTGGAAATCTAGGGACTGCATCACAATGACCACATCGGAGGAGCAACCAGAGGCACTGGAAGGCGAAGAAACGGGCGACGCATTTTCAAGTGAGTCAGTCAATGACAGGGCGAGTGGCAGTTTTCAAGTTGCTGTGGTCTAGAGGTCAGCGCCTGACAGCCCAAAGGCTGCACCTGTCCCACTGCAGTTTTCAAAAAACAATCTCAGACATTTCTCTCTCTTTACCCCTCTGTCTTTTCTCCTGGATGAGCTCCTGTTCTGGCGAAGGGTATGCTCCCTTATTCTAACAGCAGTTGAAGCCCACCTTATTCTTAGGAATAAGAATCTTATTTTTATGAAAACGATGATGCTCAGGTAGAGTCCTTGCTGCGGCTCTCCTGGGGAAGAATGCTAAAAGAGCCCTTAGTCTGTTGGCTGTGAAATGCCTTCAGGGAGTTTACAGCTCCCAGTTCATAGGTGGGTTCACACAAAACACCTAACCAGGTCAGTGAAAGACCTGGTGGCTGCATTCATGTCAACACTAACCTTGGTCATGGTTAACCTTGGTTAGGTTTCCCTTCTACTCCCAGTTTAACATGGTGTGAACCTCAACGTGGGTATTGAGATCATGGTTCACTCTATTTTGGAAACCCAGCAAATGGGCCAATTAACTCAGCAGCTTAAGGGCGCGCTGGCTGTACCCATCCAAGTGGGTTAAGTGTCCCCATCGCACCCGTGCCCTCTCCAGCAGGGCAGAGGAAGAACAGGTAGTAATTCCGTTGTTTGTGTCTCAAAGTGGTCACTGTCTGCAGCGAATGGCGTCACAGTCTTGTTCCCACCATGCTTCCTGGCACCGCGGGGCTTGGGG